CATATATATGGAACGCAGATCCATCACAACAAGAATGCGCAAGGAACTTGCGTGTTGCTCAAAATAATAACAATCGAATAAAATATATATTTATAGATACATGGCCAGTATAAACTTTCAACTAATAATGTCATCTGTCGTGTTTATGATTGCGCGTGAGCAGCGAAGTGAAAACGTAACGCGGGGGTGTGGATTAGTATTAGATAGTAGGCAGGCGTATGTACTTAGGCCAGTGGTTCTTAACCTTACAACGATGAGGGGCCATTAGTCTAAATTTTTGTCACTTCATGGATCACTGTTTGAGATTTACATACAGTACCTAAATATTAGTGAGAGAAACTTGTACTAAAGTATTCCACTGTATCAAATCGCAGCAAGAACTGAAGAATTTATAAGTTCAAATATAAATAATAAATGTATCTAATATATTTGGATTTGTACATTCTATTTCTTTATTATATTAGATATTATAATTAATACAATAATTATATGAGTGAAGAAAGGGTTGCTCAGAACGCATAATTTTTTTCAAACAGTATTTTAATTTTTTTACCAAAATAACAAAATAAAATAGTGATTTAACGATTGCTCTTTTTATATATAAGTGTATCTATATGTATTTAATTTTTTTGCTATAGGCGCGTATTTTTATTCCATTTAAAGAATAGTCTGTCGACCACAATCGTTGCATCTATGGACCACAAGTTGATAACCACTGATTTAGACCCACGTTTTGAATTCATGCAGTGAAAGGTGTATAGACATAACGCTTCTTACGGCAGATTAATGTATTGTGACAAGAACTGGAATGCTTTTCGGTTTAATTTTCTGAGTAATTTTATAATTGAATCCTTTCTTATGCTTTTATATTAAAAATAATAAAAGTAGTTACATTCTTTCTTCAAAATTAAATCTATATTTGATGTTACTCATATTTCTTTTCGTATTCGTCGTCTCTTATAGTGCAGATATATAGTGGGTTAATCAGTTTTCTAAATGTATCGTGATAAAAGTAGCTCCTTTCCTAAATAAATTACAGGTACATATATGCTAAATCTCCATGATTCATTGGGTCGAAAAAGTAACTTCAATTTGGTTTAGTACATATAATTATTTGTTTTGTAATTATGTAGAGTCAAGCTGTTTGTTTTCTGCGGTTACGATCGCGCCCGGCAGTAAGTAGCGGTTTATATGAGAAATTTCAGAAAATACTATAAATCTAATCCATCTATATATAGATGAGATTACTACAGTTTTGTAATGTTCTCGTTATTCTTTAAAATCCGAATAGTTTTGTTAATTATAGTAAATTATAAATAAATATTGTTATTAAAGCTAAAGCAAATAAGTGACGGTTACCATTAACCAAAAGGATGGTAGTCATATATGTACATAAATAATTTATTGTTTTTTTAAAGTCATGAAAGAAATATCTTTACTGATTACCAGAGATGATAATGCTTGTTATAAAGATATTATATAGGTATATTATCTAATTTATATTATACTAGGGACCAGTCCCGCCTTCGCATGGATGCATTTCGAATCTTTGAGTTTCTCGGCTTGTGCTATAATATATTATAACACTCATGTACTATACACATAAACCTTCCCCTTGAATCACTCCATCTACTGCTGAAAAGCGCATTAAAATCTGTCGGGTAATTTAAAAGATATAAGCGAACAGATGCTGCGGCGATTTTTTTATTCTATGTAAAGATTGTCTATTCTATGTTTATATATCGTTAATATATGACATATCGTTATACTATTAAATAATAAAGCATAAATAGATTAGTTACAGTTACATAATAAAAATATCAATTTAAAATCTATCATAACAATATATTGTAATCATTTATGTATATAATGTGCCACCTACCACGTTAATAATTAGGTTAGCACGGTCTCTACGTGGGTGAAAACTGGTTGCGTCGAACCAAACGACCCGTACTTACATTAATTTTAATATGCCAATGCAAATATTCCCATTTATGTAAATCTTACCTACCTAGAGGCTAATTGTGGCTTATAGGTAGAGTCCATTTGAAGGAAATCTAGATACGGCATGCGGTTTGTACGGCAAGTATGTTATTCACACAATAATTTTATGTTATTTTTAATAAAAAAACTTATTTTTTATTAATTTGATGTAATTTATGAGTATTTTAAAATAAGCATTCTGCACTCTTCTTATTCCGCTGTCCGTCAATTTTCGCAAAAAGTCTTATAAAGGTTTTACTTCACGTATTAATATAAATATGGTTTCATAAAACATTTATATCAGCATATATATATATATATATATATATATATATATATATATATATATATGCAATGCAATTTATATTAAATTTAGAATATTTAGTTACCGATATGTCCCTAAAGTGCGAAGCCACTTTATCATTCTCGACATTATTTATAAATAGTGTTGTATTACATATTAGTAAACTGGATAAAATGATTGACAACTTAATTTTGTATTATTTACATATTGGTACATTTATTTATAATATTTTAAATTATAAGTATTACATATTTACGGCAACAGTGAAATATTAGTTGACCCGACTTTTGCAGTAGTTCAGTAGTTGAAATATCTATAGAGGTCATTAAATATATCCTATCTCTTAAAATGGACTAAATTACAAAATTTACATAAAAAATAGTTTCGAAGTTTATCCCGGATAAACATTGTGTCGTATTTTTTTATGTATATAAGGATAATATGTGTCAATACGAATGCATGACAAAAATATGCTAAATAACGGGAAATAAGTGTAGGATATTTATAATGTGTATTTCAACTGGGAAAACTGTAAGACCAAGATCTGGTGTTTCCTCGTTTAACGTACAAGCTTAGATATTCAATAGCAATGCCAACCAAACGAGAGTCATCTTACCAGATTTTTGGTCCTATACAATGTACAATTTATGAGGTTTGAGAGCCAAATTGAACCTAAGTAGTAGAATTTAGACTTTTACGTATACAGATATTTCGTTTTAAATAGGTATATTAAACTGGAACCCTGAGATTCACCGAGGTAATGCTGCCTGCTTCTTTACAAACGGACCAAAGTTTTACATTAAGTAGATATGGTATTTGTCTTGTCTTATAGGCTAAGTTAAAAAGGAAATGCTACAATAACAATGACAGTTGCCCACTAATTCATAAACGAAAATCTCTTTTGGAAAGTTCACCATTTTGAGGAGAAGAGAGAATTCTTCCATTCTTGTCCCTGACGGGTCTCTGCAAGCGTAGAGCTATAGGTCTAAAACACCGAGAAATAACCTAAACACTGCAGTAAAAAAATATAACAATCGTAATAAGTATATATACGTAAATTACTTGGCACGACACCTTAGTTAACTGGAATGGTTACACATGAGTGGTGATCTTCATGTTTAAGAAGTCTCCTACATATATAGCCTATCTACGTAATCTATTTCATGAAATTTTGTAATAGTTACGTTATTAGGAGTTGCTTAAGTAATCATTAAACGGCTTTGAGTGCGTCGGTGAGTAACTAATGTGTTTATTTGACGTTTACTGAGTATTTAATATGTTTAAGTAGGTACATGCGGTTTTTTAAATCACCTGTAATACAGCAGATATGGAACCGAGGTATATCTTTGAAATTGGGTAAAAACGTTTGACACAACTAGTTTAATAAAATACAAGTATTGTTCATATCTATTTATATTATTACAAAGAGGTAAAGTTTGTAAGTTATGTTCAGGCCTATATCTGGTAATGTCTGATTTTGAAAATTCTATAAACGTTGCATAATAATTATAGTGTTAGACATATAGCTTTACTATTTAATTGATTGAAGAAGGCTATAAGGCTATATAACGCTATGGTCAGTAGGAACGGACCTACAATGAAAAAGTTGCAAAAACTATGAAAATGAGACAAACAAAATTACGCGGGCCAACTAGTGTTTACATAGTATAAAACAAATTCGCAGCCGCTGTCTGTTCGCTTATATCTTTTAAATTACGCAACAGATTATTATACACTTCTCGACAGTAGATAGAGTGATATAAGAAGTTTTATATATAATAATTTTATGTATAATACATGAGTATAGAACAAGCCGAAAAATTCGAATATTTGTAATGCATCCGTGCGAAATCGCATCAGGTCACTAGTACAGTTTAAAAATAAGTGGCTATCTATATTGAAATGACCAAAATATATTTGAACAACTTAAAAGCTGTGACATTTGTTTTGCTTTATATACTTATTACGACATTGGATTGGTTGACTATTAGGTTGGGTATGTGTGTAGGTATTTTTGCAATGAATGCCACGTAATTGTAAATATTATAAACACTTGATATATTTTATAAAAGAGATTTTGGTCTCTTTTATAATCAATCATCTAATTCAACCCAGTTTGTTATTTTTATAAATTAGCGTTATATATTTTATTATTATATTCGTAAACAAACTTGATAATCAAAGATTAGTTATCACATAACAATTATTTAATCACTTATGAGGAGAAATTAAAGTATTTTTAAATAATATTCACTAAAAATATATTTGTTAATGAACCGAGTTTATGGCCTATTCTTGTCAGCTGAGTCAGCATTTCTACATAATATGGCGACAGAATAAAAAACTCTTTATCGAAAATAAAAAAAAACATAAAATTCCTAAAATTTGTTAAAATACTACGGTATATTGTCTCAAAATAACTTATATTTATTGATTATAGGATAGTTCGATTATGGGAAGAAAAAGGATATATAGGATTGAATTATGGGTCTTTATTTCTTTTAATTAAGCTCATAAATGAATGCGAGAAATGAATTGCAATCAGACCATTTCGAAATATTGTCATTAATAAACTTAATACCATATAAGGAAACCGATCGCCCAGGTAATGCATCCCTGCCCGCCAGCGACTACAGTTGAACGGAAGAGGCCGAAATTAGATGCGTGCGCGCATCGCCCAAGCGGGGCCGCCGAAACTAAATACCCAAATGCGTTTGTGATCGCCCCGCGGTTGCCAAATACGGTACGAATCTCGGGTTTCGCGTAGCTGCTGGCACAACACCAGCCTCTGCAAAAACGTCCTCTATTCATGTTCTCGTCTAATGCTCGAAAACACGTAAAAACAATTTTTATTTCTGTAGCGAGCGCCCTCTAAATTTAGGTATGGAAACGGAAAGTAATACGAGTGATTTTGGTTCGGGCCGACTTGTCTGTATTTAGATTAGAGGCAGAAGCGGTGAGCGAACGGAGCGGAGTTGATAATACGTCCGCATGATTGCGCGTGAGTTGCAGTGATTCTGTGTTTGTGATTGCATTTTGTGTTTACGCCGCCAGTGATTATACAAGGATTTGGATGTCACAAATGCTGCCCGAAGGAGGTGATTATTATTCGAATTTTAATTCTATAACCATGTTAGTCTATTGATAAGTATTGCAGAGATGTTCAATAAAGTTTAAAGATGAGGTTACTAATTGCAATTCTTGTTTATGCAGAGAAAATAGTAGACTATTTGCTTTTATGAATACAGTACAATAGTCCAGATTTTCTAATCAGTACATTAATAGAATTTAACTACATGTTTGAATTAAACCAATGTATTATTAACATTTATTCTGTAAGATAAACGATAATTTTCACATATGTATGTATTGATAAATGAAATAATGTTTAATTAGCCAATTTATTCTCGAAACTAACGAATCGATATTTTCTTGTCAATCGTGTTGACTCATTGTAGAAGTTTTAGAATTAATATAATTATTTTTTAAAACGACTAATATCGAATTAACATAGAGAGTTCTATAAATTCAACATAATGTCACAACTATGTTATAACGAACATGTTACTCGGTTATTATCTATATATAGTAGTATACATACTTTCAAAATAATATTACATGTACAAAGATGTTGTATGACCTTTACGATCTAAACAATAAATTCTCATTATCGTCCAGAGCCAAATCAATTACAGTTTGTACTTTTCGCTATCGTATCGCTTTCTGATGAAACCTGGTCATTAGGCCACACCTCGTTATCAAGTGAAACCATACACACAGCACTCATATGTGCATGTATGTCATGTGTACAAATATCATAAATTTATTTGTCTTTCGTATTACTCTATAATAGCTTGGTATAGCGGCCTATTGCCTACATATGGGCGGTGTCAAATTGTCACTACCGTATATTGATATATGTCAATTTACCCATTGTATTTTACAGTTGTTCAAAGTTCTATGTCAACTAATTTATTTTGATTTTATTATAATTAGTTATTAAACTAAAAAAAGAAATTCAGTTGAGTGAGTTTAATGACAGTCCTTCTCAATTGAATCTATATACACAACTGGACGGTAGGGAAAAATGTGAACATAAATACTTGACGTTCATAAGCGGCTAAAAAGTTCCCATAATAAATATGATTTTTGATTTGATTCACAACTAAAAGAGATATGTATATTCGTTATAAAATTAGTATAGGATTAAACAGAAGGAAGAGTAAATGCAGGAGTAAAACAAATCGATCGCAAACAGGATTATCAACATCCGTTCAACATCAGCGGATATCCAGTATGTACGTGCATGTAGCACTTGATTTTGACTATTTCCATTGCACCTATTTGAGTACACTAAGATTGCTTTCACCATATCTATATATTCTAAACGAATATGAGCTAAGTTTCTTGTCAGTTCTTCTCATATCGAAATCATTCCGAACTAACGGTAGATTTGATATATCATAAGAGTCTGTAATAGACCTACATGAATAAATATATTTTGAATTTGAATTTATACATATACGAGTATGTTGTAACAAAATTTATATAGTTTGTTACGTTAGTAACTTACTTCCATTTTTATCTGTTAACTGTCTTATACTTTATCTTAATATGTACATCCAGTGCCGTCGGAAAAACTGTCCACTACTTTTAATAACCGACAAAAGTTGGGCTGTCAGTTACACACATTTGGTACCTTTGGCAGTAAGAAAACTAACTAACTAATTTTGAGGTTCTTAATAATGTTTATGTCTACTAAAATGAAAATTATTGTGTATTTTGCGCAACCCGAATGCAGTGAATGAAATATTATAATATTTTTTTTCTTTACGTTCGGTATAAACAAACATAGTATAATTTTGTTGAAGATCGTGTCAGCATCCCCCTTCGTTGTTAAAGATGGTTACATTCGTGAGTATCTCCCCCTCCCTGGTGCTGTCACATATCCGGTATTATTTATTTGTACTTCAAAATACATGTTATACATTATAATACATAGATATATTAAATTTTTCTATGTTCCTACAGCTTGTCATACAAAATGTTTTTCAAAACATTTTGGACCCTTCCCACTTAACGTGTGACCTGATTTATATTTGAACAACGTGACAAAACATTTATAATCAGTTCAAATAGGTTTGTAGGTGATTTTGTTTTTATGGAACTGGTTCATAAAAGTAAAAAACATCTACTGCTAAATTATGTGTGTACATATATTAAAAAGCAGTTCTCGGTAAGTAAAATAAAGAACTATTTTATAATGATTTATAACATTAAATCAAACATATTGCAAATGCAAAACTATTCAAACGTAAGATTATGTAAAATAGTCTTCCTACAATAGATATGCATTCACGATTCAGTTGTTTTGTTATAAAATCTCAATAAATTACGCATAAACACAGTTAGCTCTATCATTTGTGATTATTTATGCCGTTTTCGACTTTATTCAGTTGTTATAGAGTTTATGTCAATCAATTGTGATTTCTGTATATCCTACGCGCAATGATTCATTCTGTTTCACTCATATTTCTGTAAAACCTTATATGGATTCAATTAACATTCCCTTTGTCGTTCATTTATTTAAAGTACCAACTTTAAAAATACATATTTTGATTACGTATTCCTTACATGTTCTGTTATCTTATTAGAACAACAAGGTTTAATATTGAAACGATTGATATATATATACTGACTCTTTTTATAACTGATAAAGTTTACTATCGAGTTAGCTACAAATTAATTTTATTTAAATATTGACCATATTGGTAACTAAACATGTGTACGTAGTACGAAATTGTTATTTATTTTTATTGTCATATAGTTCTTGTTTATGTAAATTAAAATATCTTTATAAAGGCAATATATAGCCATGTCAATTCGTATATAGTATTCGTAGTAATAGTATCAGACTAAAAAAAGTCTGAAACACGTCTCTACTCTCGAAATAGTGGCCAAAGGAATTTGTTTGTTTAAGTATGTCTTTACAATTTTTTTATACCACAGTAGTATCAAACAGACATATCTACGACCTATCTAATCCTAAGCGTTTACCGCAAATATATCCTTCTTGAGAAACCCCTAGAGAAAATCTAGGCCGGTAGTTCATTCCACAATCTGAGTGTGCGCGGAAGAAAATTTCATAGAAACCGCACTGTTCAATTTGGTTCGAATATGTTTTACCTATAAGTAGTTACAATAATACAGTTTATACATAAATTTACGGTGAACCTAATAGTAAGAATAGATTCTTATTACACACCGAAAAATAATTACAAAAAGAGCAATAAGTATTCATTTTTTTACTTATATTCAAATATTACTTATTTCACATCACTTTTTGAGGGCAAGGAAGGGGATTGCCAACGCGTGATATTGTGTGACAAGAAGTGAGAGGGACTCCTAAATTTCTTGACGACACGTTTCTAAATCTAATATCTAAATATTAAAACACGTCTAAAAACTTATGACTACGGAAAACTGAAAATATATTTACAATTCGTCTACTGGTTTATTAGTGTACTGCAAAATATGTGACGTAACACTAGGAACCCTTCTCTGGAGTCTCAGAAGTGTGACTGCCTATCAAAATTTGATGCAGGGGTCAAAATATCATGAAATTTATTTGATTAACTTATGGACAGCACCATACAGACAACCTACACCTCAATCTCTTACATACCAATACAGTTAGCAACATGTATTACTACTACAACTGTAGTACTATCTATATGTTATGCGCATTTAAACTAATTATCGTAATTATAAAATTTTAGTTCAATCGATATCTTTCTAAATACAATAAATAAGGTCTGATAAAGAGTTTAGAGGTTATCTTTCACTTCCGTATTCATCTTAGTAACCATTTGTAGCTGGTAAATATTACGTAACACATGTAACATAGGTTTTGTTGCTAAAACGTTTGTTAAAATTACTGTAACATGTGATCTATGTAAGGCTTTTAATGAGTTCCTAATAAACTCTATATACTTAGATATTTGCATGATTAAAATTTTATATTAGATTTGTGTAACAAATACTTGTATTTCTTGAAAAAAGTAGGTTTATTAGGGAATAGCTGTTACCGCGGTTCAGTTTTCTTCACGCTAAATTATATTAAGATCCGTTCAGCCGTTTAGTCGTTGAAAGGTAGTAAATATACAGACATATTTGTGTGATTATTATATATTTTTAATTAGTTTATTATGTTAATTGCTTTCTACCAATTCTATTTCTCTTTTATTCTCTTTCTTACTACTGTAGACTACTGAATCGAATTGTATTAATATTATTATATGATTAATAGAAGAAAGCTAGAAAATACAGCATTTTTCCTAAGAAAACAAATTATTTCAAGAATCTCTGTCACTATAGACTTCACTTTATGCTTTAAATGACATCCTGTACATCTCCAAATACTATTACAAACAACTTGTTAGGAATTTAGCTATTTTTATCCTTCTTGTAGAATTCACATGAATGTGGAGAATGAGGACATGTTTATCAACGTTAGTTTATTTGTAGAGACCATAATACAGAGAGCCATTGATGGTCAAGTCACAGTCAAACCTTTACCATTCTATTTAAAAATATACAAGTGAACACTAAAGAGATAATTTAATTATGAAATTATAATATAGTAACAATAGTCAAAGACACTCGTGTAAAAGGTATTACTCTGTGTGACTAAGGCGACAGAGAAAACATTGCATGCAAGAATCATACAAATATCTATAAACATTTGAAGGTAGGTATATAGGGTGAACTTTTCTCATCGTATTTCTAAAATCCTTTAAGAGTTTTCTCACCTATTTAAACCGATAGGTATATCAAACAAGTTGACGTGATAATAAGTGGTAGGGCAATGCAATGCTATCCAGGAGTACTAAGCTCTCATGTCTATCCTGTAATTTACACTCTAGAACTGAAACACACCTTAAAAAGCAAGCTGCTTGGTGGATGAAATAGGTGACAAGGTAAAAGGTTTTTTTTATAATGATGATAATTAAATGGTGCACCCGCTGCGCTAACGGTTTACGCTGGCGGGGCACCAGTGGAGAATGATAAGATGAGCATGAAGTTAGGTCAGTTAGCC